TTTACCATGTTGGACTGTAATAACACCCCTTCATGTATATTCTCGGGTAGTTTCCTACAACTGAGTGAAGTTTCATTAGTATCTGTCTAGATGTCCAGGAGGAGTAGCACTTAAAAGGCACACGGACGTGGTAATTCCTATATACCCCAAAGCTCTTTGTGAGTGTTATAATCTTAAAGATAATACATTCTCATAGACAAGAGGCTGTCAGAGTGACAGCAAACCGGATTTCCTGCAGAGGTCGAACCCTGAACAGTTGAGCAAGTAGGGACACTACATTTAAGCCTAAAACAGTTCTGAATTTGGATTGTGATTGAATATTTGACACAGCATAGGTTTGTGACACAAAATGAATGTGGTCAAAGAACTGAAAAATTTGAAATTGGACATTTACCTATTATGGTCCAATATCCAAAATCTAAATACATTGTTAGAATCAGCATATCAAAGAATCCCAAGAATTCAATTTTTGATGAAATCAAACATAAGTTTAATTTAGGACCCTTTGGACCTCAATGTGGACCAATTTGATAAAGGAGCCCAAAATCCAAAATCTCTAAATACATGGTTAGATTCAGCATTTCAAAGAACCCCATAAATTCAATTTTTGATGAAATCAAACAAAGTTTAATTTTGGACCCTGATTTGGACCAACTTGAAAACTGTGCCCAAAAATCCAATATTTAAATACAGGTTTAGATTCAGCATTTGAAATATTTAATTTATGTTGAAATGAAACACAGTTTAATTTTGTCCATATACATTAATTTTCTGTTCAAAAGGAAATAACTCAAACCTGAGACTACTATAACACAGAGATTGGTCACTATAGATTTATCGGATTATCTGAGTCTCCGGTAGTTAGCTATAGTAGTCTCAGCTCAAACTGAATAAATGACATACAAATAGTTCTCTAAAATTAGATATGATTTAACCACTAAAAATAGTTCTCCAAAATTAGATATGATGTTATATCTATTTTCAAATTATAATCAATAAAATTAGATATGATTTAACCACTAAAACATTGTTAGAATCAGCATATCAAAGAACCCCAAGAATTCAATTTTTGATGAAATTAAACAAAACCCTTTGGACCTCAATGTGGTATTATCTAATTAATAATGAAAATAAATACAGGTTTAGATTCAGCATTTCAAAGAACCCTATATATATTCAATTTATGTTGAAATCAAACACAGTTTAATTTTGGCCCCCAATTTGGACCATCTAAATATAAATATATATAGCATTCAGAAAATTAGTTAATACAGAATAACAAACAAACCTACCACAAAATTCTTAAAACATTTACCAAAGAAAAGAAAAATAAATCCAAAATGTCACTTATCATTAATACAATGTCTTTTAAAAATCTATAAAACTTATCTGCAAGTGTAATCAAACTTTATATATATAATTAACCATTTCTGTTCAAAGGGAAATAACTCAATCACATTATAAGTACCACTTTTGGCTATTGGAAAGGGCCCATAACTCAATAAACAGCTGCGCCATGAGCGCATGATACGCCTGTCGTCTTGTGTGTGAATTTTTATGCAATAAGCATAAATAGTTTCTGACATACGGCGTGACATGCGAAAACCCCCTTTTTTGTTTACAAAAAACTCAATATCTCTAAAATAAAATTTTGAATCAAAACCAAAAAGTATACAGATCTTTAGATTAATATAACTAAGAAGTGTGTAAAATTTTAAGCAATAATCATAAATCGTTTTTGAGATACGGCGCGACATGTGAAAACCCCCCTTTAAAAAAAAAAAAAAAAACAATATCTCAAAAATAAAATTTTGAATCAAAACCAAAAAGTATACAGATCTTTAGATTAATATAACTAAGAAGTGTGTCAAATTTTAAGCAATAATCATAAATCATTTTTTGAGATACGGCGCGACATGTGAAAAACCCCTCCCCTTTTTTTTACAAAATACTCAATAACTCAAAAATAAAATTTTGAATCATCACCAAAAAGTATACAGATCTTAAGGTTAATATAACTAAGAAGTGTGTAAAGTTTTAAGCAATAATCATAAACTGTTTTTGAGATACGGCGCGACATGTGAAAAACCCCTCCCCCTTTTTTAACAAAATACTCAATATCTCTAAAATAAAATTTTGAATCATCACCAAAAAGTATACAGATCTTAAGATTAATATAACTAAGAAGTGTGTAAAGTTTTAAGCAATAATCATAAATTGTTTTTGAGATATGGCGCGACATGTGAAAAAAAACACACACCTGTTTTAGTTACTAAGTCCCGTAACTCAAAAAGTTTTAATCTTATTTTCACCAAAAAGTATACAGATCGTTTGACCATCATAAGAAACATTTATGTTAAGTTTCATGAAATTTGGATAAGTCATTCTCAAGTTACTGTGTGACATGTTTACGCCGGACAAACAGACGGACGGACACCGGACATTTGTATACCATAATACATCCCGTCAAAAATTGACGGGCATATAAGAACAAGAAAATCTAAAATCGTGAAAATTGAACTTGACCTTCATTTAGTTACAGGAAGCAAGATATCTAAATTTAAAAAAATGTCGTCAAAGCGTTTTCATGTTAATGAACGGACACTGTTTGGCAGCTGCCCGCCTGCCCACCCGCTGTACATCCCCAAATCAAAAACCGATTTTTCCTTCGAAAATCTGGTTAAAAATTATTTGATTTTAATCATTATTGGACTAAGTGAAGCGAAATTTACCAATGATGTATAGGAGTTAATTTTGGCAGCTATGTCTTTTTAAAATAAGAACAAAATATAGGACCTCTCCCACCATGTTTCCGACACATCTGGTCAGCAAAATAGTTCCAGAAAATATTTTCTAAAGGTTGAATTAGGAATTTTAAAAGATGGCTATTTGCAGTTCATTAACTTGATATATAACTTGTCGAATTGAAGTTGTCATGGTGTAAAACTATATAACAAATATCAAGTTATTATCTTCAAGCATGACTAAAAAAAGTGTGGAAAACTGATTATTTAAGTGATTTTTCTAAGTCCAAGGACCATAACTCTGCACAAAATTATCAGACTGGAACAAAATTCAAACTTGATCTGTAACTTTTCATGATAAAACAATATACAAAATATCAAATCAATATCTTCAAGCACGAAGAAAAAAAGTGTGGAAAACTGATTTGCAGGACTGACGGATGGACAGACAGACAGTCGGAGTGCAAACCTAAAGTCCCCCTCGACTTCATCAGTAGGGGACTAATAAGAGAAATTAAGAAATTTACAAATCTGACTTTACTGGTGGACTTATTTTCTTTTTAACTCTTATGAAGTAAAACATTTAAACAAAGGACCTTTTTCACAATATACCTGTTATGTTTCAAAGTTTCGCACAGACTGATTAATTTAATGCAGTTAAAAATAAATTGCTTCGCCGAGCGAAGCTTGATACGACCACAGAGGTCCAACCCTGAACAGTTGGGGCAAAAATGAACACAATATTCGCGCTTGATACAGGTCTGAATTTGGATTGTAATTAAATATTTGACACATAATAGGTTTCTGACACAGAATAACTGTAGTCAAAGAACTTATAATTGGTTATATGATTTGAATTTATATTCAATTTTTTGCTTTTGTGCAATACACTACGCTGTTGCGAATTGACCCCCCCCCCCCTTTTTTCTTGCTTTTGTGCAATACACTATGCTGTTGCGTATTTGAATATTTCTTATTAATTTCTGAAATCTGAAATGAGAAAAGATTGACCCCCCACAAATTTTTTTTTCACCTCCAACACCCCCCCCCCCCCCCCCCCCCCCCCCCCCCCTTCCTTTTTCCCCCAAAAATAGTTTACAGAGGAATGACAATAACTGATACCAATTATAGCTCACACTGGTCATCACAAATTAGGAATACATACATAAGTAATTCTAAGGTTTCTACGTTGGAAATATCCACTGCTATAATTCAATGTAGAGCTACTATCTATCTGTATTTGGATATTTCAAGTTAAATAAGATAATAAAAAATCATTTTCTTTGTTTCTTTACTTTTATTACCATCGATAAAAATGATATGAGTCAATACAAAGTTGTGTTTGATATGATATAACTAATACATGGTTATTTTAATACAACAAACAGTTAAGGATTTGCAGTAGTTATTTTCACTAAATTCTACACTTAACATGCATTAAAATTACAAGTCAGAACTCAAAATCATATACCTGAAAACCAAAGTGATAACCTGTTATTTTTCAGTAAGAACTGGATATAGAATTTCCATACAAATTGACTATGTTTTTACAAATTTTAACATATTATATACCGGTACACATTTTCAGCAGCATTAGTTGATTTGTATGATATTGCTTTATAAAAAAAATGACAGAAAACTTAATTCAAGACCTAAAACATGGTCGGACAATTAAAAAACTTTTCGACTTTAAAAAATGTTTCCCATGGACCATCTAAAAACATTTTGAATTAAAAAAAAAAGTTTGCTCAATTATGTCCACTGATAAGCAGACACAAAACATTACTTCAATGAAAAAGATAAAAGATCTATTGAAAATAACAATGAGCAAAACTGAACTAATATGTATTTACCAAATGACTGTATGGACTTTGCAATCCCAATTTGAGAGAAAAGTTATACCAATCAGATTAAAGTCCAAATGAGCCTATATCTCCTTATCTACTTCATCTGGAAACGATATTCATTTTGTAGGAATCTTTAAATTGATTTAGAATTGACAAAAAAAATTCCTATGAAAATTGTTTTTTCTTTTATTTAAGGTAGTACAGCAATCTTTTGCCATCTTTGATTAATTTTCTTCCTGAATTTGTTTATATTCTCATACTACTTAAGGTATCTATGTATTCTGAACCAACCCTGTGGAGCAAATTATAATGTTTTCTCCATCATCTTTGTGCATACTATTTTTATAATGTATTTTGGTCCCATCTAAAATATGACTATATTATCGTTAAAGAAATCAGCAAACATAAAACTGTTACACCATAAATTTATTTCACTTTCAGAAAATCACAATTTATATATGTGAAATATAAGATATTAAAGAACTGAGGAGAATATAAACATGTAAATGATAATTATAACATCACAACAGTACATATTAAGATGATTCTATAAGTATGCCAACAATGGCAGTGATACCAATAATATGGCACAATGTCTTGTATTGCACATTCATTTTATTGTATGAGTATATACTGACCAGACCAATAACCTACATTAACTACAAATGTTGGGACAGCCTCACATTGCAAAAAAAAAAATAACAACATTACTAAAAGGATAGAAATAAAGTAACTGACAATTAGAAAACTCTTTTGATTCAGATATATGCATTAGAACATACATTACAAAAAATTAAAATTTACAAGCATCCTTTTAACTTAGCTGAACATAAAACGGGGTAATGAACAACCAAATAACAATGCTGGATAGGATTTCTCTGGTCTGCATGTCCTAGTACTTCTAAATAGTGATGAATGTCTATCGAAATTATATTTCAGCTAACCAAAAAAAAATTTAAAACTGTTTGCTGTCAATGCTGCATGCACTTAGTTATAAGAAGTTGCAATTATTTCTATCTAAATGTAATGTTCATTTTTATAATGTTATGACTTTTCTAACAAATCATTTAAGCTTAGTATAATTCCTAATAATGACTTGTCTATTTGTATCTCTTCTGAATTGAACAAATAGCTTTTCCTATTCTGAATACAATAAAAATAGATATATTACATTATAAGTAGCTACAATAAATGCACTTTTAAATTCCCTGAGAATATTAAATACTGTATACGGAAAGAGAATACTAACAGTGTTTTTAACTTATTCAAACACTAAGATAGGAATAAAGTAATTAGCAATTATAAATCTCTTTTGATTCAGATATAAGCATTAGAACATACATAACATAAAAAAAAAATTTACAAGCATCCTTTTGAAATAGGTCTTTGATAACATTCAAGAATAACTGACTGTTCTTCAATGTAAATGTTGTTTTAATAAACAAAGAGATATGACAAGTTCCATTTAATTTGTATGTAAAAACCTTCAATCTTTCATCCATTTCAGGAGAATATCTGATCTACCTTAGCAGAAACTCACAGTTCAATTGCAAGCCATTTGATACCATAAAAACTAAAGTATCTTGTGAAAAATTATGTGTTTTACACCATCAAGACCTTTGGTTTAGGGTATTAAAAGGTGCTAAATATTAAAATTTTAAAAATAATACACAATATTTGATATCACAGCCTAGCTTTAACTATGATAACTAACAGATTACACTTACTGTGGGTTCATTTATATCAGAGAGTACCAATTTTCATGGATTGAGGAAAACTCTAATAGGATATCTAATTTTGTGGTTTTTCTAAAGTCTGCATACAACCTAATAGAAAATGTGTCATTCGTTGAACATTTAAGTTTGTGGTTCAACAGTACCCATGATATCCACAAAAATTGGTATTCAACGAATAATAATGAATCCACAGTATTATTAGTACTAACAGGACTATACATAAATACTAAATCCCTTTAATAAATAAATATAAATGAACACTTCAACAAATAATACAAAACCACAATAATGTTTTAACCTTACGGTGACACCCTTTTGATTTTCATGGAGGAACGTGAAAGACTATTCAAAGAGAAAATTTTCCTGAAAATTTCAACAAAATAAAAGTTTATATCCTTTCTTTGTGAACCACCTGTAACTTACTTGAACTCACTATTTAACACTACTAAACATTTCTAACCCCACCTTTGACCTTATACTTGCATGCACACCACAAGTGTAACATGTCTTCTTATCATTTGAGCAACTAAGCATGTTGAATAACTGGCTCAGCATGTTGGTCCAGTTCAAAGCAAGGTTTATAAATTCATCACAGTAACACTGTACTAACATGTTCTCATCCTGAATAGTCATGTCAAATTTGCTGCTGAATGTTATATCCCCACCCACTAATAATAAGGATAAATAGATAAGGATTTCTTTTGCTAAAATTCTAAATCCTGTGAACTATTATAAACAACTTTATTTATCATTACAAATAGCTCTTTTTGTAACCTAATAAAAGTTTCATAAATATATAGAAATACGATGCCTCTCAAAGTGAAAAAATAAACACCTTCAGTTTAGCTCCATTCCAAACAATCAAAGGGTGATCACCATAATATGAGATTTCTTATCATCCACCATCACTTTAAACAAATGTTTCATACATACTAAACATTGAAATTTCTTCAATATTTGCCTTAATTTTAGATAATCTCCATATACATTTGACAGATATTGAATTTTCTTCACACACCCATACTATAAGTTTCATATTACTATACTTTTCAAACATTTGATTCATCATATCTTTGTTAACAATTCAAAACTTTTCTAAAATATCTGCTCAATATCATAAACGTAGAAATTGAATAAAAGAGGCAACCGAAAATGTCCTATTTCTCATTATTTATTTCTGCAAATCAAATAATTATAATGAAAATCAAATAAAGTTTAATTGTGGTCAATCATCTCCATCCCATAATGTGCCACAATGCCTTAATTGATCATATATATTACCGGTATTAAATCATGAAAATAGCTGAGAATTAAGATGTGTTTTATTATCCTGTTTGAATCAATAAAATTTGCAAAAATAAGCATTTTACTGGTATCCTAACATTAATGAATTAATGGTTCATGGTAACTAGATTTTTAGGAGCAACCAGCTGAACCTGCATAATGGAAAGCATCCTATGTATCAAATAAATAAAAAAATATACTTCCATAGTAAAACTGTTCATTCACAGTCCTCAAATGTTTGGGACAAAGGTGGATGAGAATTTGGTAAAATTTTACTGGAAATGATAAGTCTAAGGTAAAAAAAAAAAATGACTGTAAAATGTATTTGGAGAGATTCTAAAAGAAATACCCTACATTGTTAAACTGTAAACAACCCTTCAAATAAATAATGTGTATATAGACAAATTGAATATCCTAGAGATGAGTTACATTACTGTTTTAAAAGTGGACTAGAAGGAGGAGTTACAGAAGTAGATTTCCCCGTTTTTCTTGAACGTAATGAAAGTCTTCTGGCTGTTCTTTTAATAGGGCCTTCTTCATTAGCAGTATCAGTGCTACTACCTGAAAAGACAAAGTTTCCAATTTATGACATACAATTCTACATATATATTTTAGTGAGAGATGCCACTTTATTTACACATTATGAAAGAACAGAGATTCATACATAACCTATAATGTAAAACGTTATTTTGTTACCATCTTTTGGTTGTACGGAAGTCCAAGGAGGAGATCTAAAAAGAGTTTCTGTATGTTCCCTCCCTCAAATCACACAATATATAAAATTCTATAGCTTTTTCAAAATTGTATAATTAATGAAAACCGTAATATAAATGGTTTTTTTCTGTCAAATATTACAACTGGCATATTTAATCAAAAAGGTCATTTTAATGACTTATTATTGGTAAAATATGAACCAAACTAGAGGCTCTAAAAATACTGTATTATTCTCTTTGGTCTATTTCCAGTGTCAATAATAGCCACTTGCAAACTTAAACATAGTCAAAATTAATCATCTCATTAAATGTAATCATATATTCCAGTAAGGCTGCATTCCCATATGAAGTTTTTGATTGAGCAGCCACAAACAACTTTTCTGCACTTATTACAGTGTGCATGTTTAGTAACTATGACCTTGACCTTAAATATAGTGACCTGAAAATCTTTCATTATATGTGACTATACATCCAAGTACTGTTGCAATCATGTAGTATTTGATTTAGAATCTGAAAACAACTTTTATGCACAAATTTTGGTCTATTTTAAGTAACTTTGACCTTGACCTCTGCATGAGCTATTGACTTAAAAATCTAAATGGTATCCTCATTTAATTTTATGTGACCACATATCCAAGCAAGGTTGTAATCTGATATGTAATATTTGATAAAGCATCTTGAAATCACTTTAATGCACAAGTTCCTTCTGTTTTTAGTAACTAAGACCTTGAACTTTGAATGTGGTGACCTCAAAATAAATATTGGATCTTCCTCTCATCATATGTGAATATATAGAGGTTTCAATCTGATGTTAAGAATTTGAATTTACATCAGGAAAGGAAAATTACTTCTGGACTGACTGACAGGTACATACATCTTAGCCTGGGGTATATTACATTATGGCTATGGTGGGGTTTCCCTAATTCCCAGCTTACAGGAAATAATTGAGGATCCTGAATATACTATTGTATAAAATGTTTTGTAGCAATATCGGTACTTCACCCATCTGATTAAAATTCGATGTTGTGATACGCTACACAGAATATTGTAGTGTAAACTTACAGTTGATTTTAATCAGATTGGGAACTTCACATGAATTATTCTGATTTTTTTGTAAAATTTTGTTTATCTTTAGATGTAAGATTTGTCAAAGTTTGGTAGCGATTTGTTCTTCACATTATTTTTCAGTTTTGTTAAAATTTTAAGAATCAAGTTTTTCAAAGATCTTATTCATATTAATTTTTGTGTTGTTGTTACAAGTCTTTATATTTTATGTTTTTATTGTAACAACCCTTCATGAATTCTATCTGTTGAAGATTTACCAGGCATTGGTTGGTTTACTGTCTTTGTAATTTAATTTTTGATATAATATTTTTTCAGAAAGCCATGTTTTAGATGCTTTGTCCATGCTATTCTTGCAAGGATCTGACAACAGTTTAATCGAGGTTCTGTACTTGGAATTATTACAGCAGCCAATGAAATTTCAGCCTTCAAATTTTGAAGGTGTGTACCATTACAACAAAACCAAAGGATCCCAATTAAAACAGAAAGCAGAAAGGTGCCTTTTCAGAGCCTTGTAAGCAAATCGTAGACAGGGGATTTCTATTTCAATCAGATTAAACTTTTGAAGGATGATTTTGAACAAATAAAATTACTGACTTTGTTGTCAAATATCCTGATATTATTAACAGAGGCAGCAATGTTAAGAGGCGGATGGAATAAACCATAAAACTATACTAGATGAAAACCCTTACTGGTTTATAATACTGAGTGATTGTAGAATTCAAAGGTTAATAAAAGTAACATGATAATACATTTTGTAACTTCTCATTAAAAAAAAAAAAAAAAAAAAGAGGAATTAAATTATTTTAACAACCTACTAACCACAGAGTTTCAGAATATGCATAATAAAAATGAATTCATGTGTCAAATAATGAATGAAACATATGTTATATACAAGGAACCAATGTATACAACTTAAAATTAGTTAAGTTTAAATTGTTCTACAGAATTTGCTTAGAGCTTCAAGGACACATAGTCTGTGTCATGTTGCCTCCAAATAAAGAATTTTAATCATTGGATAATGGAACAATTAAGAAATGATACTGCATTGTGGGAACATCACTGTTTTGGATGTTCTGAATGGTCCAGACTTTAATTGTGAGGATGATGAGACTATCCAACATAATTTCAGAGAAGCCTAATTTCTGAAAATGTTCTCTGATTGTTTACTGATTTTCTCTAAGGTAAAAACAGTTCAGATTTGCACTAAATTACATTCTTTGTATTCTTTCAGTAGCACATTCATTGCTTTTAGTGGGAGGCTGAAAAATGCATTACTGAATTCAATATGATAGAAAATATTATAAAAATTTCAATTGCTTAGATTACGATTCTATTTTTCTGTAATAAAATAAATAAATTGGGAATGTGTCCCGAGATGCATATCATATAAAGTTATAAAGGGACATAACTGAAGAACAGTCAAAGTGACGCTACTCAAATTTGCACTTGATCTGAGTTTTGTGGTAATTGTGTATAAGTTTCATAACATTTGGTTGGGGCATAAAAGGTCTTGAAGTCAGATGAACACTGCCAGATGGACATGTGCACCTTACAGTCATTCGATACACTAAATATAGTTGACATATTACTCTAGAATCTTTTATACTGAATTATACTTAAGACCACACAAATTTAACCTTGATCACTGATCCATGAAATGAGATCAGGTGAACACTATCTCACAAACATGTAAACATTGCAGCAATTTTATATACCAAATATAGTTGTCCTATCACTCATTATAACCGAGAAATTCACATTATTTTTTGTTCTCTTTAAGCTGAACCATGAAAATGAGGTCAATGACAATGGACATATGCCCAACAGTAACTTCATAACATAAGGCATCTGTATACAGGATATGAAGTATACTTTCTGAAAAACAGCTTTTTTGGTTTCATTTGAAATGAAGTCAATGTCATTTAATTTCATCATGTATAAAAATGATGCATTAACTGACAATATATCAATTCTTCTAGGATTTGCAGTTTGTAAGATCTGGACTTAAAAAACACACAAACTTAACTGGGGCAGATGGACAACTAACAAATGAATGAATAAAACAGTATAAATCCCCTCCATATCTTTAGGTGAGGGGATACAAATTATTGCAGATTTCAACAATGTAGAAAAACACTAAAAGACTTGCAGAAAAAAAAGTGATGAGTATTTTTAGAGACTTCATCCACAGCATCATTTTGGATTTTTTGTTATAAAAATGGGACAACAGAGAAATATTCATATCTAAAAACCTTATTCCTGATCTACATAAAGGAGAAGGTCCGGTAAGGGCTTATTTTGGCCTAAAATTTGAAGAACATCTGATGAAATATTTTTGACATTTTTTAAACACTTAAGTGTCTTCTTCATTGGATGCAATTAGTTTATGTAAAAGACTTGAACTGATTTGGTCAATAAAGACGCCTAAATTCAAGCTTAAATATAAATAAAATGCTCCGCAGGGGCGCAGCTTGATACGACCGCAGAGGTCGAACCCTGAACAGTTGGGGCAAGTATGGACACAACATTCAAGCTTGATACAGCTCTGAATTTGGATTGTGATTAAATATTTGACACAGCATAGGTTTCTGACACAGAATGAATGTGGTCTAAGAACTTAAAAATTTTAAATTGGACATTCACCTATTATGGTCCAATATCCAAAATCTAAATACATGGTTAGATTCAGCATATCAAAGAACCCAAAGAATTCAATTTTTGATGAAATCAAACAAAGTTTAATTTTGGACCCTTTTGATCTCAATGTGGACAAAGTTGATAACGGGGCCCAAAAATCAAAAATCTAAATACATGGTTAGATTCAGCATATCAAAGAACCCAATATATTCAATTTTTGTTGAAATCAAACAAAGTTTAATTTTGGACCCCGATTGGACCAACTTGAAAACTGGGCCCATAATCAAAAATCTAAATACATGTTTAGATTCAGCATATCAAAGAACCCTAAAAATTCAATTTTTGTTAAAATCAAACTAAGTTTATTTTGGACCCTTTGGACCTTTATGTAGACCAATTTGAAAACAGAACCAAAAATTAAGAATCTAAATACACGGTTAGATTCGGCATATCAAAGAACCCCAATAATTCAATTTTTGATGAAATCAAACAAAGTTAAATTTTGGACCCTTTGGACCTCAATGTGGACCAATTTAAAAACGGGGCCCAAAATCCAAAAACTTAATACACGGTTAGATTCAGCATATTAAAGAACCCCAAGAATTCAAGAATAAAACCCCATTGAAATTGATCAAGAAATAAGCAATTTATACGAAGTATCTTCTTTTGCACAATACTGTGCAATTGAATATTTCTTGCTATTGTGCAATACTGTACAATTGACAATTTCTTGCTATTGCGCAATATTGTGCTATTGGATATTTCTTGCTATTGCGCAATACTGTGCAATTGAAGATTTCTTGCTATTGTGCAATACTGTGCAATTGAAAATTTCTTGCTATTACACAATACTTATTATATAATAATTTACACATCCTGTTTGGTGTGTATCTCCTACCATATCATTATTATTTGCTTTTAAATATAAATCAGAAATAACCAACTTAAAATGGAAAATTTTAAAAGAAAAAAAAAAAAAAAAAAAAAAGAAAAAAAAAAATCCCCCCCCCCCAAATTTTTTGAACCCCCTTATGATTCATCACCCCCAAACTCTATCCCAGCCTTCCCATTGTGGTATGGTACCTTGCAGTACAATTTCAGAGAGATCCATACACTTGAACACAAGTTATTGTCTGGAAACTAGAA